CACTCACCCACGTAGAGCAAACGCCAGCCGCTGCATCCTGGATTTAATTGGACGACGCCGCACGCCACCTTCAGGCCGAACCGGACCGTTATTGTGATCGTCAAGTCCGCTGGTCATTTGGTGGTCCAGATAGGAGGGGGGAGGGGCTGTGTCAACACAACTGGAATGACACCGCAGACCTCGTCACAAATTAGGCCCACAGGGGTTGATGAGGAGGTGGAGGTTCTTGACCTGTTCGACCAACGCTGCCTCCAGAGGCTGGAGCGTGTCAAACGATTGGACCTCGTCCATAAAAGTCCTGACTTAGAAATCCCTACAAATGTCAGCGTCGGCGTGAGGCCGGGTCCCCGACTGAACTGGTGATGAGCGCAGCCTGGTGGTCAGTCTGTGAGGGTGAAGGAGACGGTACCATCCTGACTGGACTGGACTGGACCGGACCGGGTTCTACAGAACAGAACCGTCCACAGTGAGTGAACCTCTTCCACAGACTTCTATAAAAAAAACAAAAAAAAAACTTCAGGTCAACATTAGGCAGTAATAATGTGAACTGCTCAAAGCTAAAACCATTAGCTAATTGCATCGTAAGCAGTTACTGAATCAACCAGCGTTGGTTTAATGATAATAAACGACTGCTTTTGTTTTCACTTAATTGGTAGAAGGAACATAAAGGCACGTTAACACACACACACACACACACACACACACACTCATGGATTTCTCAGTGAATGAATCAAAAGCGTCCACAGACAAATGTATATAATAACCCATTATACTGTGAGATCCTACAGGGGGCAGCGTACGAGGAGCGCGCCGTTACCGTTTACAATAACAACACATTAGTCGTGTTGACGACGACTCTGTAGAAAAACAATAAAAGGGAACAAAGTATAAAACGGACTTTGTCAGGGTTTTTTAAACATTTTTTTAATTTGTGTTCCTCTGTAGTGTAGTTCCAGTTTCGACAGCTAAGCAGTTTACCATACCTGCCAGAACGGCATACGCTGCCTTTACTGAGCGTGTGCACAAAAGTAAGTCTTAAAAATGTGTAAATTATTATTTACTCTCCCAAACCAAACTCTGTCACTAACATCACGTGAGCAGGTTTGTTTACAGAGGTTCCTCGGTTTACGACATCCTCGACCTACGAGGTTTATTAACTCGTGTTTGTTGTTGTTTTGAAACATTGACCGATTATCTGTGAATGAAATCAGTAAAGAGATATGACTGGATTATTTTTGAATGAAGTAAATCAGTAAAAAAACTGAAGTACTTTTTTTTTTTACTATGGCCCTGTACTAAATGACCTATGGACTGACACTGGTCCCCGCACCAGGGGTTGGGGACCCCTGGCCTAGATTATGATGTCATCACTCTGTTTTAATAAGTGAGTGACATAGAAACTGTATATTGTATACTGTATATAAGAGAAGTATAATAATATAGTACAGTACTTCAAAATATAAAAAATAAAAATTCTCTACGTTTCCAGACAAACAATGAGGAAAACCTCAACCTTCAGGACACAGACTTTTCACCAAAGCCTGAATAACAATCGGGAGAAAGAAAAGAAAAGAGACACACACACACCCCCCCATCGCCCCCCCGCTCCCCCTACACCGACAGGTGAAATAAATGGTCAAACCAACCGCGGCGTCAGATATTAACAGGCGATGATGGAGAGCGATTGTGTAGCCAGTGTAGAAAACATTTGTTTCCGTGTTTCTACATTTGCGAGCGCTCACATTAATCTCCCGTCCGCAGAAGATTCATTATGAAGACTTGCCGGCACCAGGTGTGCTGAGCCTGCAATTTGCCACAATTAATTTGGGCTTTTTTTGGAGCCTGTCTTTCTCCTCTGCCCACTTAATGAAAGTAGACTCCTTCCTGCAATCTGTCCCTCCCTTCAGGATTAGCAGCAAAACAAGAGCAGAAAAAGCTCCTGTAAAACGCTGTTTAAGGCCCGCGGTATAATTAACGGTGACAGCAGCCGAGTTTGTCCTTTTAAATTTTGTACTAATTAGGAGAAACTGCAGTCAGCAAATAAAAAGTAATAAACAAACAAACAAACAAACGTGTGGCTCCGGCGTGACGTGCACTCACGGAGACGTAGAGAGGCCATTTTAATACTGCAGATTACACCTTACACACCGAGGTGTCACACCCCCCGCCCCCCATCATCAGCTGCCCCTGCGCCTCTGAACCAAAGTCAGACATTAATTAGCTTCACGTCTGGTGAACGGAGGAGGCTACAGTCGACGGAAAGAGATTTTTTTAAAAAAGCAATAACTATTGATTTGACTAATAAACAAAATATATCCAATAATATTCAGCAGCGAGTTTGACAGTCAGAACGGCGGCAGCAGGGAAACACATAATAATAATTCACAAAATTTCAATATATACATATAAATATATGTATATATAAATACTGCAAATAATCTCCACTCAGTCTTGTGTACAAGAACAAAAGTCAAAGTCTTTGTGTCTAAAGCTGGATGCCATCTGTACACCTGTGGGTCCATGTGGAAGAACTTGAATCAACCAAACCCAGCTCTATTTTGAGTGTGTTTTTTTCGGCTGTACGTGACTTCCATCAGTGTTGATGAAGTGGTTCCATCATCCGTGTCTGCTTAAACTACTCTAATGTTTTCCTCAGGCGTAATCACTCAATCATGATCGGAGTAAAAACTAATCACACGGCACTCGCAGTCGGAACGTAAATCCCCGAGACAACTGTTAATTTTCCTGCCTGCTGGGGGCAGCGGTCTAATCCCGCACACATCTGGACACGTCCTGCAGTCGGAGCAAAAAGGCAGCGATCCAGAGGTTTTTACATGAATTTAGGCAGAGCAGAGAGCAGAGGAGGAGGAGGAGAGGGTGTGGAGGAAAATGGAGGTGTAGAAAAGAAAAAAAATAAGGCTGGGAGGGAAGAGGGAAATAGATGGAGAGCTCTTAGGCTGTAATGGCTGATCCTGGAGATTGCAGCCTGGCCTCCGTCATCTCTATCTCCCTGAAAAAAAAAAAAAGAAATATTTTTTCAGCCTCCAAAAAGCTTGATTGTTTTTTTCTTCTTCTTCTCCGAAAAATGCCTTGAAAAAAAAAAAGTGAAGTGAATTGAAAGCTGAGATCAAGAACTCCTATTACCGTTCTATTTTTTCCACGCCCCGGTTGAGCCTGTAATGAACGCTCTTCTGGAGGTTTGTCTGGGTCACAGTTTGTCTTTGTTTTATTCATGTGAGCTGGACAGCAGCTGAGGAGGGCAACGAGGAAAAACCATCAGACATTTAACCGTTGAAATAATACAAATAAACACATTACGGGATGATACGTCATCAGGTCCGATGTCATCACGCAACTCTTCTTACTTTTAAGCACATCGTCCGGGGATTTGGCTGCTGTTACCACAAAAAAAATAAAAAAACATAAAATTCAAATGCTGCACTTCCTTTCACAGCTTTGTCTGCTTTTTTTTTCTCCCTCTCAAAGCTGCTGTGTGACAGGGAAATAGGAGGAGATGATGCTGGTGGAGACGAGAGCGGGAGATTTTTTTTCTTTTTTTTTTTCCTTCCCCAGCTAAACTCCATATGCCAGGTCATTTGGGGGCTTGCTGGTTCCTCTGTATGCTTGGCAGGTCTTGGCTCCCCACTTCTGTTCCGTGTCTGTGTGCCCGTCTCTGTCAGCACCCACCTGCCCTTCTGCCTCCAGAAATGGCACCACATGCTGTTTTTACTGCTTAGACTCCACAGAAGTCCAATGAAACGCAGAGGGAATTTGCCAAAAGAAAAAAAAGCAGCTGTATGTAAGACAATTTAAGTTTTAGTCAAATTTGTATTCCCTACTGAAAGAATACTGGTAAAGTTTGGAGTATTATCGATTTCAAACTGTTCCTTGTTCTTGTCCTTGTTCTTCTACGTGACAGTGACTGGCAGAATAATTTCATACTCTTCCACTAGGTGGCAGCAGATGGCTATAAAAACAAAACAAAAAAGCAAGATCCTCACAGCTGTTAAAGAAGATCTTCATTTTTGCAAGATCCTTACAGCTGTTAAAGAAGATCTTCATTTTTATCTTTCTTCAATTCCTGCAGTTACTGTACCGATGGTGTTCCTCTAAACAGGCACAGGTTTCACACGGAGTAAGTAGATTGTGAGTAAACGAAAACTAGAAGATCATTAGATTTCGTTTCATATTCTTTTTGGGACATTTTTGTAGTACCAGTGCTGTTCTCCTCCAGCAGCAGTCTCTTCCCTCTCCCCCCATGGTGCCTTCAGCAGCTCCGTCCACCATCTGGAAACCAAGAGCTAAACTTTTTTCCAGGATGTTGAGTCCTCCACTCTGTGGGCTGCGGCGCAGCAGTCGGCTGCATGTGCCGAAAAACACAGACTGTGAGACTTCATGAATTGGCCAACATTGTTAGGGTGGAGGACAGGACATCCAGAGAGAAGAGTTACAGTTACAAAAACAAACAAACAACTCTTTCTTCAGTTGTTAATGACTCTATCTTTGTCAATCAAATATTGTTTTACCACCGTAAAAGTCCAGATTTTCTGCTTTTGTTTTGTGCTAAATGATGAGCTAACAGCGTGGAACAGGGTCGGGTCAACATCCCACATCTGGTGAGAAATAAACAGCAAAGAAGTCAGAAAGTCGAATCGGTTCTAATCGGTTCTAATCTGTACGCCGGAACATGAGAGGAACAGTAGAACACAGAGCAGAACTTTTTTTGTCAGAACAAAAAGGAAGAGGAGGAAATACAGCGACAGAGAGAAAAGGACTGGACGTTTCCCGCCACAGAATTAGCTTCCAAAGAAAACTTTAGCATTAGCTCAACATATGAAGCATTCGTTCAAATATATAAAAAAATACTTGTACTCAACATTTGCTTCTTTTAAAAAAATGTAACATTTCAAAACTGCAGCTCACATTTCACATTATGATGCAGATGGAAACGCGTCACGACTGAGTTTATCTCAGGTTTATCTGCAGTTGACTCAGAGGTCAAAGGTGAACCCAGAGGTGTCAGTGTGGAGGAGTTTTGAATTGATATCATCCACCAAGATAACAGCCCGACTGTTGACACTGTGGTTACTCACCCAGAGAGACCGAGGGACGGAGGAGTCGGCAGGAGGAGGAAACCGATCTCTGAGAAACGATCTACGAGGAAACACCAAGGAGACGGGAGAGAAATAAGACACAGGGTTTGTCTACATAGAGGGCGGGGCACAGGAGGAGCACATCAGGTGAACTCTAGAGGGCGAGGAGCACAGTAGGAGCAAGAGATTTAAAACATTTTACACAAATGTTTGAGTCAAAGTAAAAAAAAAACTTGTTATTTACGTAGAAATTCTATGTCAGTTTAAATATTGACAGGAGAAAATTTCACAAGGAGCCAATGAAAATCCACGATCCACATAGTGGAAGAGGGCGGTCAGAGCCCTTGCCTTACAACATCATGTCACTGGTTCGAGTCCACTGTAATGGATCACATATAAACCTCCGTCTCCTCCTCCAAAAAAAAAGTGAAATCTATAAAGTATAAAATTATTACATTTGAAATCAAATCAAATTAGTAAGTGCTACGTGTTGATCTCACAATAACGTCCGTCATCGAGTAAATAAAAATGGTTCTGTGAGCCCAGTGATTCCACGAGGCAGTGATGGAGAAGTGTTCAGCTCAGGCATTAGTATGCACACACAGTGTTCATGTGAGTGCATGAAAGGGGGAGAACTATAGTAGGACTGGCTTTGAGGGGAATAATGCTGAATATTTTAGCTGCTCTCCCCGGAGACCGGCGCTGATGTGCTCCGATTCTGAATGTCTACAGAACCCCACCTGCACGTCAGGAGGAGCAGCACAAGTATTGATTTAAGGAGTAATCAATGGTACGTATGAAGTACACTGGTGTATTATTCATACGTGCTGTCAGTCGGAGTACACAGACACACTAACCTGACCCTGATGCTAATTGAAATAATGTCGAATATTTTATTCCTTGTTGACTTTTCACTGGGTGATGATGTCAAACGGCGTATGATCACCTCAGCGAATCACAGACTCCTTTTAAACCACGGCACAAATTCTCACTAGAAAACCTACAATTAAACTGAGTGTGAAACCTGATCCTGTTTAGTTGAACACAACTACGATTTGTGTCACAGGAAGTGATGAAAGACAGATCTGAGACCAGATTTGTGACCATCTGCTGCCACCTAGTGAAAGAGAAACCTTTCTTCAATGACACATACTCAGGTCCTATACCAAAGTATGTCTCAAACTATGGTATCTGTACCACCGGTACAGAGCTCCCTCTTCTGGCAGGATGGTATTTTTTTTAACGTATTTTCATTCAATTTGTGGGTGGGTTTGTACTTGTGTAGTCTTAGAATAAAACTGAAGTACAAGCTGTAGTACTACTTCATTGTACTGTACTATATGTGTGTATGTTGGTGGTGGTACACGATGTAAATAAACTGGAGGGTCGAGTCCTCTTCTTGTTTAACTTCACGGCCTACAGCAGGTCTCAGGATTACGACAGTAAAAAAAAAAATCTCCGTCTTCTTCCGCGGCGATGTAAACGTGAAACCGTAACTGGAGGATGAAAGCTGGCTTAGTGTTGGAGCGGAGAAGAAATCTGCGCCCACTCCCGTCTTTCTCTGCAGAATTTACATGTGAAACAACCGTAAAAATAAAGGCGGGCACTGAACCATATGGTCTTTGTTTTATGCTGCGGCGTCGCTGCTCCACACACACGATCCTGTTCTGTTCCACAACAGTCGCTCCGGTTTGTGAGGTGAGAGCGCTGCCATATGGTGACACACTGTGAGACGGAGACAGTCTGCTCTCCGTCTTCAGTCACACCTTCAAATGTGAAAGACGCAACAGGACTGACAATGACATTTTTTTTTTTTGTTATTCTGATGATTTCCCCTCCCAGCTCCGCTGCTCCACCGCTCTGACACCGGGCGTTTTCTCAAACTGGTCCAGGACTCATGTGGCTCCGGCTGCCCACCTGCTCGCAGCGTGCTCTCCAGAGGAAGGCCTCCCGTCAGCGCCGCGCACGCACCTTCATGATTTATGAGCCATCTGTCGCATCTGATGTTCCTGTCGCCCGTGACAGGATGTTCCCGGCTGGCACTCTGCGCCGCTCCACGGGGGCACCGCCTGGGCATGCCAAAGTCCACTGTAATTAAATTACATGAGTAGGAACAGAGTCGTTCCTGTAATGCAAACAACCCCTGATGCAAGACGGGCCGAGAGCAGCAGCCGAGGTGTTGGCCTCGCGTCCTGGAGCCTCCTGATACTGATTCAAACACTTCATCCAGTTTAATGTCAGCCAAGTGTTAATATCTTATCAACACATGGGCATAAAACCTATGTAAACATTACTACATATCAGTCTTTTCCAACTGGGGGTACGCTGACCTTCAGTGGTACGTCAGGGAATCCCAGGGAGTTTTGTGAATTTTTTTTTTCATACTCGATATTTTAGGTTTAAATACTTGTTCAAAGTTGTTATCAGAGGTGGTTTGAATCCCGCCCAGCCGACTATGGTGTGTTGAGCAGGTACCAGTTCCTCTGCTCCGTCAGTAGTATCAGTAGACTAGGTCACAGGTCACAGGTCAAAACCACAGAACCATTATTCAGACGCAGTCACTGGTCACCTTCAGCTGTGGACTCCACACAGGTGTAACGCTCATTTGTGTCTGCCCTGGTCCTGGTCCTTGTACTGGTCCTGGTCCTTGTCCTTGTCCTTGTCCTGGTCCTTGTCCTGGTCCTGCCTCCGTCCTCCTCTCATCCTGATCAGTATCCGTCTCTCTGTTTCACAACCAAACCCACATTCAAACTCTTTATGTAAATAATAAATAAAATCACTACAAATGTCCACGGTCTTTATGGGACAACATTTTGTCCCTGTTTGTTGTCCTACTGCATGGACAACAAACAACTGTGAGCTGCTGAGACACGTGGTCACATGACCTTCCCTCCACTGTCACCACAACAGATACAGTTCATATTATCCAGTTATTATTATATATTATTATATATCCAGTTATATAGTTAAATATTATATTATTATCATTATTATCAGGGCTGTCGAACAATTTAAATTTTTAGTCAGATTAATCAGATCAATCATGACTAAACATGATAATGATTAATCGTGATTAATCACCGTAAATGACGTGACATCACATAGGACCAGGGTATCGTTCAGATGTCGCCCTATAGCCAACAAACCCAGCTCTGATTGGCTCTCGTCCCTCGAAATTTGTTACTCAAATTTCCATAATGGAATGAAGTTCTAAATGGACTCGGATTTTTGCCAGATTTTTTTTGTATCGTTTTTTATTATCCGACCGTCATCCAGCCCGACATCACTTCCTGTTTGGTTGACAGAATTAACAGTGCTGAGAGTACAACACACTGTCAATACAAACTGCTACAAAGACCGCAAACTTTCCACAGGATAACCCTCCACTTCACCTCCTCCACTACAGTACTGTCTGTTCTGGCTTTAACATTCTCTCTGCTGAGGTCTGCCGAGGATTTCTGCCTGAGCTCAGCTCTGCTACACCTGTAACAACGACTGACACGGAGCGCAGCTCAAGTCAGATTAAAGAGAAATGACACTGTTCTCGTCTCCTCTCTCTACGTCTACACACACACACACACACAAACAACTCTCATCTGTACTCTATTAAAACTGTACAGGTACAGACACCGGCACTTACGTGATGCACGTTCGTGCGACTCAAAGACGCGGTTCACATCAGATAACCTGGCTTTTTGTGCTCAGGGGGAACTGAGAGGTTGACACGGCGCAGGTATGGAGGAGAACCTGAGGCACATCATGCTTTTCACTGAGAGAAAGCAGCTCTTTATAAATATAGCATCAACACTGAGGCAGTCGGCTGTTTGGGCTGAAGGAGAATGAAGCAACTGCACCTGAAGACTCCGAGGTGAGATGAATGGCTCGGCGTTGAGGGAGTAAACAGGGCAGAGAGAGAGGATCTGGTGCCAGGTGCTGCAGCTGCTGCTGAAGGCCTCAATCACTCAGACTCAATCACATTCTGAAGCTAATCTGTGGGCGACTTCTCACAGCAACTGCAGAGGAGTTTGTTTTTTTTTCTTTTTTTTCTTTTTCATGAGCTGCTGCTGCACTCCGGCTAAGAAAAACGGTTTAACCTCTCCGGCAAAGCGGTCCAAGACTACAGCGGCAAATCACTGGACGCCGTTCAAGCTCATCTCCACAGAAGAAGAACCAGATGGAGGTTCATCATGGCTGTGTTGTTAGGATTATTCAAAACAGAATACGGTAGAGCGGCGGTCCCAGACCTTTTTTGTTTCCAAAACGGACCAGTAGCACCAGGCAGCTAAATTTTCAAAATATCTATTATCTCTAATCTTTTAGACTTTTTTCCTCTTAGTTTTTTCAAACATTGCCAGGTTATCTGTCTTTTTGTTCCTTTGCGGACCGATAACAAATAACCTATGGACCAATACCGGTCCCCAGACCTAGGGTTGGGTTCCCCTGTTGTAGTAAACCACACACTGCTAGTACTGCACACAGTACATCAGTTTGGCCGGATTTCTTTTGGTGGCTAATCAACAGGAGCTAATCACAGCATTTATTGGAACTCCAACACAACTACAGTAAAGTACAGTAAAGTACAGTAAAGTACAGTAAAGTACAGTAAAGTACAGTAAAGTACAGTAAAGTACAGTAAAGTACAGTAAAGTACAGTAAAGTACAGTAAAGTACAGTAAAGTACAGTAAAGTACAGTAAAGTACAGTAAAGTACAGTAAAGTACAGTAAAGTACAGTAAAGTACAGTAAACCCAGGGCTGTCCAAATAACACATTCATCAATTTGTAGAATAAATTATATTAAAAAATTGTACCACATTATAAGGTGTAGAGTGACAGTTTATCCAATAATTTCCCCGTCCATCCACTTGTCATTGGTCTAGAACACGGTAAATTCACACGTTGTTATTTACACACACTGCCGGGAAAAATACTCCTGTTACACTGGAACACCTGGATCTAAAAAATATCATCATCAACTGCCAGAATGTTTGTTGAGGCTTCAACTTCAGGTCCAGGTTCCACTGAAATACACCAACTCTATGAAGATATATTTTGTAGATTTTTCTTAATAATTCTTTTTTTTTTTTTGCCAATATCACAGCTGTACTGATATAAAATACATATATTAATTATATTTAAAGTTCATTTGTCCCCGCAAAATAAAAAAAAATATATAAAAATGAAACTGTACAGGACGAGAAGATTCCACACCGAGGTGGAGATAAGACATTTTTATGATTCAACAAACCCCTTCACTCCCCTTTGTTGTGTAGCCCCAGGCAACATGAGCAGCTCCTGGGGAAACATCTGGCAAATCAAGGGCACACTTTCTATGACCGAATTCTCAAGTTTTCCTGGCGAAAAAAAAAAAAAAAAAAAAACGCAGTGGATATGCTGATGAGTCTAAATCTTTGTCTCTGCAGTTGGAATCACACCAGTCAAAGTCAGGTGGGGCAGAACTTTTGTCCAGCCAGTTCCCCAGGTTTACACCTCCGTACAGTGTAGTCGCTAGTTTTAAAATTCCTTCTTTGTAGGTCAATGTGAAGGGAGGCTGACTAAAATGGATCTTCTCATTGAACAAAAAAAAAAAAAAAATTACATATGAGTGAAATTTCTCTATTCTGGGAAAAATACAGAAACACTGGAATGGACTCATAATTTTTCTTGTCCTGCTGTGTCCCTCCGGCAATACATCTGTGCCCAGGAAACACTGGAATGGAGTGTCCCTCCGGCAATACATCTGTGCCCTTCAAGGAGGGCCCGCCCCCTATTTTGTGAACCGTTAGCGTGCAGCAAGAGGTTTAATGGTTCACAGCTTCCTCCCATAACCATGTAGATTGAAGATCAGTCTAATTACACCCTCCCATCCCCATCCTTCCTGCCGTCCTCCATGAACCTGAAAATGTTATAACCTGGAAAAGTAACTCTGGTTCTGAGACGTTAGTCTCTGGGTCTGAGGAGTGCAGCCACCATTGAGGAAACCCAGAGAGCTGTGATGTCTGGAGCAGCTATCAGAGGGCGACTCCACTTTGTTTCAGTGTCTATAAAATAACTAAGGTCTTAATAAAAGTGCCACAGTTTTCCCACTTGATTTATACGATCCATAAACATTTTTGGGGGGAGTTTACGGTCGCAGTCAGCAGTTCCAGGTCATCTTCAGCACAGCATGGTGTCCTTTTCTCAAAAATTATGACCTCATTAAAAGTCAAGTAGACGATAAAGCAGGGTGCACGTCGGCTCGTGGTTACGGGGTGATTGACAGTGGACGTAGAGCGCAGCCGCAAACGCCCGCTAACGTCCTCTGGGTACGATCTGTTCTGCAGCTCTGACCTCACAGCTCGGAGAAATTTGAAACTTTTATTTTAATACGGAGAAGAATGACTGTTTTACCAAAGAGAAAGAAATGAAAAGTATTTGTTCTCTTAGTCTGTCAACACTTATATATAAATCAAATAAATCTCTACACAGTTGATCATTCACGGTCAAACACTCCACACTCTGTGGTCTGAGCTGGAGTCAATCCCAGAAGCCATCAGGTGAGGGCGACGTTACACCCAGAAAACTCTCCAGTCCATCACTGTGTCACATGAAGAGACACACACTTCACACTGAGGACAGTTCCAGAAAACTGGTTGGAAAAATGTCCATATTAAAATGGACGACAACTGACCTACAGTATACGCTTGTTCGAACCCACTACGCAACATCGCCCCCTCTTGATTTGCTGTGGTACTGTTCCCTGTCATGCTCCGGAAAAACCAAACCAACGATGCAGCTGACAAACAATAATCACGGATCGGATCTGTCCTCTCACATTCACTGTCTCCAGACATGATGATGCTGTCATGCCGTAAAGATCCTGAGGTGGCGCCAGCAGCCGCAGCAGCAGTGATACTACACTTCACATCTAATTAGTCCAGTCGGCCTGAGGTACTGATTTCCTACAAACAGTTCCCACAACACCAGGAGCAGAACCAGCCCTCAGTGTCAGTCGGTACCAAACATAGTACTTGTATTTCAAAGATTATCGTTGTGGAAAAAAAGGAAAAAGTATTCACTCCTGAACACAAATGTTATGTTAAAAATGTGCGAGGAATCTTTAAAAAAAAATAAAAGTAGAGAAAAAGGTTCACAGAGGAGACAGAGCAGAACTGACCTTCAAAATAAAAGAAAGTTCCATTTGCAGTTCGACTCAAAGTACAGTTCTATCCCCACAGCTGACACTCAGCTGAAAAAAAAACAACCTCTGTTTGACCTTGAGGACCTTTGGATTTCTTATATCACCAGTCGTAGCATTTTGTTTAGGTGGTGTTTTCTGGCTGCTCTGTGAGAATATTGTCTTACATGGAGCTGGTTGGTGGAGCAAAAAAGGTTAGAGACCTCTGCTGTATAAAATGTACGGCGTCTGACACTGCCTCACAGCAACGATGTCAACAGTTCAATTCCTCAGATAATTGCCTTGAAGGTATGTATGTATGTGTGTGTGTGTGTGTGTGTGTGTGTGTGTGTGTGTGGTTGGTGTTTTCCCTGGACCGTTGAAAAGCAGTGACTCTCAATAGTAACTGTAGTAAATGTGACGACGACTGGTTGTTGGGTTTTATCTGTAGCCTTTCATCAACCGCTGGACTTTAACAAACTCCAAAAACTCAACGACGCAGAACGACTCTGAGAATCAGAAGGTCCTACTGATGACTAGCAAAAAAAAACTGACCCACTAGGTGGCA